GCCGGGGCCCCGGGCGAGGGATTTGGGGTTTGCAGGAGCCACCTGCAGGCAGGGAAGTGCTGAGAGATGTCTGGGAGCAGCTCCTTGGCAGGGCACGGCAGCCTCTCAGTGCCAGCCCGGCTGCCAGAGCTGCCAGGCAGGGCGTGCAGCACCTGAGGTGTTTGTGCCTTTGCTGGCAGGGAGCAGAACAGCAGCAAGGCCCAGCAGGTGTTGGCCGAGGTGTCCAAGGCCATTGGGGAGTACCCTGTGGATTTCCGCGGAGCCCGGATCCTGACGGGCAGCGAGGAGGGCTCCTTTGGCTGGATCACTGTCAACTACCTGCTGGAGACACTGGTCAAGGTGCAGCTGGGGAGAGGGCAGGGGAGGGCCGGTGGGGAGAACGTCCCTGTCTGAGCTGCAGCAGCTTTCCTTACCTGCAGAGGAGGGAGGAATGGAGCTTTGGGGCACTGGTCAGGCAGCCAAAGGTTCCCTGTGGCTGTGGGCTGCAGATTCCACCTCATTAATGGGATTCACAGGATCTTTGTGTCCAGCTCAGCCTGGCCCTGTGCTCTCGTGTGCTGACACAGGGGTGGATTTTGGGGTCCCAGAGATCTGGCAGCGGGATCGGCCTCCAGGGGACAGGGTTCCTTTTTCCCTGCTCCAAGTGTCTGGATCCCAGCAGATGTTCAGCAGCCAAGAGGCCGCGCCTGAGTGCTCTGTGCAAGTGTCTGTGGGTTGAGGAGGATGTGGGCAGGCAGGGGTAAATCAGGGAGCCAGGAGCACGTGGAAGGTGCCCCTGGGGCCCCCAAGTCCTTGCGGGAAGGGAGTGGGAGTGTGAGTGCTGCAGTTCAGCCTAAGCCTTGCTGTGTTTTGGGCCAGTTCTCGTTTGCAGAGAAATGGGAACATCCCCAGGACACCGAGGTTCTGGGAGCTCTGGACCTCGGCGGTGCCTCGACGCAGATCACCTTCCAGCCCAGGGTCCCCGTGGAGGACAGGAACACGTCCGTGTTCTTCCGGCTCTACGGCACCAACTACTCCCTGTACAGCCACAGCTACCTGTGCTACGGGCAGAGCCAGGCCCTGAAGATGCTGCTGGCAGCTCTGCACCAGGTGCCACGGGGCACAGGGGCTGCTCAGCCATCTCCCAGTGCCGTGGCGCATCTCCCCCTGCAGTGCTGGGTGTGCCTGTGGGCAAAGAGTCAGGAATTGGCAGAGGCTTGGGTTTTATCTAGGGAAGCAAAAAATTGCCTCATTTGGGTGGAAGGTGGTGGTGGTTGCTGGCCAGGGCTCCCTTCTCCCCACATCTTGACGTGCAGTGGCATTTTTTGTAATTTCCCCAGCCCAGCTGTATGTGTAGTTTTTCTGCTGTCACCATGCTCTTGGCCTTGCTCCATTTGTGCCCAGAGAGAGGTTTCCCAGCACAGTCCCTGCACCGCTGCCCGGGGACAGAGGCAGAGCCCAGCACTACAGGAGCCAGGGCTGCTCAGGGAGCTCTCAGGTGGGGTGCATCCAGTCCTCCTGGGGTGTAGTCCTGCTTTTTGGGATGGGCTGTGGGAAGGTCTCAGTGGCACTGCAGCCCCATTAAGGCTCCACCTCTCTCCAGGCCAGCTCGGGTGGCCAGATCAAGCACCCCTGCTACCCCCAGGGGTACCAGGAGAACATCACCGTGGCAGAGCTCTACGACAGCCCCTGTGTGCGTGCGCCCAGCTCAGCCAGCCCTGGCCTTGTCCTCACGGTGACGGGGACAGGGGACCCAGCCGCGTGTGACACGGCCGTGCGGAGACTCTTCAACTTCAGCTGCGGGGCGCAGGGGCCGTGCGGCTTCAATGGGGTCTATCAGCCCCCCGTGCGGGGACAGTTCTTGGTAAGCAGCCTCCGTGCCCTGCCTGGGGAGGGTGAAGGCAGGGCCTGGGTGTCTGCTCTGCCACTGATTGTGGAACGGGCTGGGGAGAGAGGGACCCTCGGAGCTGGCTCTATCTGCAAACCTCTTGTGTGCTCAGAGGTGGCTTCTGCCTCCTGCCATGTGCCAGCGTTCCTGAGGGAAATGGGAAGAGCTTGTCTGAGGGAGCCTGTGTGAGCCAGCTCAGAGTGCAAGAACAGCCCCTGGGTTGTGGGAGAGCTCTGAGATTTTCTGGCAGACCATCAAGGGCCTACTTGATGCAAAACCCTGGGAATTACTTGAGACTTCCTCCCCAGGCAAGATGGGCCCTTGGGTTTTTTCTCAGGTGAGGAAGCAATTGTTTTTCACCATGTTTTCCTTGCCCCCAGGCCTTTGCTGGGTTCTACTACACCTTCAGCTTCCTAAACCTGACTCGCCAGCAGTCTCTGCGTGAAGTCAACTCCACAGTCTATTCCTTCTGCCAGAGGAACTGGACAGAGGTGAGAGCCCTGTGAAGGGCTGCCAGGAGCCTTGTGCTTATCCTGTCCCAAATCTCTGTCCTTGGAGTACAAGCTGTGCTGTTCCCTGGGCTTGGGAGGGTTTCTGAGCCTCTCTTTCTTTCCCTGTTGCACTCTGTCCCTGATGGCCTCACAGCTGGTGCAGAGCTTCCCAAAGGATTTGAAGTACCTGCACACCTACTGCTCTGTGGCCTTTTACATCCTGACGCTGCTGCTCGATGGCTACAAGTTCAATGAGCACACCTGGAGCAACATCCACTTCAGCAGGCAGGTAAACACCTGTGGGCAGCAGGAGAGGGTGGACATGTTCAGGAGCAGCATCTCTGGAGTCCTCTGTGCCAGAGATGTGTCCCTGCTTCATGGCTGCTCCCCAGGGATCCCAGGAGAGATTTGCTGTCTCTCAGCCACGCCCAAACCTCTGACTCAGCTCATGTCTCACTTTCCCTGCTGTCAATGTAACTGATTTTAGGGGGGTCAGGGAAAAGCAGAGGATTTGGCCACTTTGATCTCTGATGGTGTTATCAGAAAGGTGATGGTGGCCCCATGACCACTTTGAATCAGAGTATGGCCTGACCAGAATATTTTCAGGATGAGAAGAGACAGCCTCAGGTTTTGCCAGGGGAATCTTAGTTAGGTACTAGGAATGGTGTTTTTTCATGGAAATGAAAATGGAAAGGGTCAGGCCTTGGAACAGGCTGCCCAGAGCACTTGATGGAGTCACCATCCCAGGAAGTGTTCAAACAACATGTGGATGTGGCACAAACAACATATGGATGAGGACACAGCTTAGTGATGAGCATGGTGGTGGTGCTGGGCTGATGGCTGGACTCCATGATCTGAAAGGTCTTTTCTGATCTTACTGACTCTGCAGCCAGATTAGAAGGATTATGGCAATGGAGGAAACCCCAGATCCAAAATCACGTGCAGGTCACAGAAGCACACCTGGATCAGAGCAGTCATCCATGTTCAGCTGTCCCTTAGCCCTGGGGGAGGGGGGCCAGGAAAGCTCTTTGTGCAAGTGCTGCTGGCAAGATCAGGTTCATCACAGCTTGGTCCCCATGTGAGACAGCAGGGACAGCTCACGGGACAGATGCCCCTCAGCCCCTCAAACAAGCTGCTGGTGCCTGGCAGAGGTGCCTTTGGATGATGCCCTGTGCTGTCTCCCCCCAGGCAGCAAACACAGACATCGGGTGGACACTGGGCTTCATGCTGAACTTGACCAACATGATCCCTGCTGAGGCTCTGCAGCAGGTCAAGGGCCACCAGCCCGGCCTGTGGGCAGGGGCCGTCTCCTTCCTCGTGCTGGCCATCGTGGCAGGCCTGGTGGCTGCTTTCCTGCACTGCTTCTGGAAAACAAAGTAGCTCCCAGCCTCCTGACTAGAGGCATCCTAGGCATCCTGCCTTCTAAACCAGGCAGGGAAGTGGTGCAGAAGAGGTGGAAAGTGGAGAAGGATGAAGGCATTAGACCCATCTCCATTGCTCAGGAGATCTGACTGGGTCATCTCTGTGAATGTGGAAGATGACTTGATCTCTCTCCAAGAGGAAGACTCCTTTAATCTGACTGCCAAAAGCTGATTGAGACTTGCTGGCTGCATGTAGCTAAAAAAATTCCAATGAGAAATAAAATCAGTTTTGTTTTTCAAATATGAATGTCACTGCTCAGCCTAGCACAGTTTCCTTGGCATTCCCAGTCCTGCTGGGCTACTCTTCCAAGAGTCCTGGGAGGCAACTGGCAATGGAGAGTGGTGGTGGGCACCAAACTCTGAGCAGAGGGATGACATCATCTGTATCCTGCCCTGTGCAAGATGTGCAATATTTTTGTAGTATGTGACAGAATCTCTTCCCAAAGACACTGTCAGCTGTTGTTAAAAATACTTACTGGCATATCTCAGCAGAAAAACACAAGTGGAAGTTGATTTAAGAGTTGCCAACTCTGGCTCAGGGTTTATTTTATATTCAAGTTACATAGCCAAGTTTTGTCAAGACACCAAATCCAGGACAGGTTCCAGCTCCAGGCACTTGAGTGTTTTATTTAGATTAGTCCAGCCCAGTTGCAGGAATTGGACAGGGCTTTCACCTTTGCAGCACCAGCCCAGCACTTCCCAGCCAGCCCTTTCTCCAGGGCTCTCCCACAACCCAGAGCTGCTCTGAGCAGTGGAGATTTCCACAAGTGCCTATTTCCTCTGTGCTCCAAGATCTCACCTAGGCCTTAGGGCTTAAGAAAAGTGCCTCAGCACCTGGTGAAGGAATGGTCAGGTCCACAGCCGTGTGCTATGGAAGACAGGGTTCTAACTCATGGTGTTATCCCATTAAACCCTCTGCAAACTGGTTCCAAAAGCCTTTTGAAAGAGCAGCATCTGTGGCTGGTGGAGATAAGGTTATATGACCCGAGAGCCTGGAGAACAGGGCTCTGCCCTCTGTTCCCAGCCAGCCACCCTTGGCTTCAGGAGTGAGGCTCAGCTTCCCAGCCTCAACACGAGCAGCAGGGAGAGGGATGAAGACTCTCACCCAGAGGAACCTCCTCCCACGCAGGGGAATCTCCTCCCACCCAGGGGAACCTCTTTCCACCCAGCAGCCTGAGCTCCCACATGGACAATTCCCACAGCCAAACTCCAGAGCCCTCTCCCTGCTCTCTGCTCTTCACAGGTACATCTTTGGCAGTGTAAGCACCAAGTAAAAAATGCCAGGTCAGGGAACAGGCTGTGGGAAATGCCATCACTGCTGGAACTGACCCCATGGATCTGAGTGGGAGATATCCCCTGTCCAGGTACAGGAGAGCTCCTGGCTGTGCTGGCTGGGGCCCAAATGAGCTGGGACGAGTGTCTCCCACCCCTGGGGGTGCAGCCATGCAGGAAAAGGCTCCTGTTTGCTATAGGAAGGCAACATCACAGCTGGTCTGGGTGGCAAAGCATTTGGGGAAGATGCCAGTCTTGCCATTGCATCGTCCTTCCAGCCAGTCCTCGTTCACTGGAAAACATAGAGGAGCAGGAATGAGCCCTGGCCCATATGAGTGGGGTTAGTGAGAGTTTTCACAGCTGGAATTTAACTCTGGGAAAAACCTGTTCCAAGCCTGTAACTCCTGAGTATGAACCTGAGACAGCACTGGAGAGGCCACATTTTCCCCATGCTCCCCAGAGCCGACTCCAAAAGCCTGGCCCAGCAGCAGGACTGGAGAGCTACCTTCAGAGAGGATATCCAGCACATCTCCCTTGCTGAACTCCAGGTCCCCTGGTCCCTGTGGCAGGTAAGAGTGCTGAGCCAGCATCTGGTAGAGAACAGGTCTGCCCGAGTGGGAGTCTGAGTCCTGCAGGAAAAAGCCAGCATGGAGGTTGCAAAGCAAAGCAGAGACTGGAGCCCAGCCCAGCAGAGACCTTGTCCCAGCCTACGTACCTGGCAACAGAGTATCAGCTTGCCCTCCATCAGCTGCTGCCACACCTTCCCCAGGTCTTCCTGTCCCAACACTGTCCCCAGCTCTGTGCCATCCAGGAGCCTGTAGCTGCAAGGGTTCATTAATGCCGAGCAAATAATTTCATTTAAAGCCAAACTTGGAGGCCAGCCCAGCCCTCTGCCAACCTCAGTCTTCACAGTCCCCTTTGCAGGCCAGTTCTGAGCTTGTCCCCTTGCACAGTGACATGGGGCCACCCCAGATGCTCAGCAGGCAGAAATGGCACTGTGGGGAGTGACACTGTCACCTGCTCCCACACAAACTTAAGGGGAAGATTCTAAACTCTCCTGATGGCACTGTGTGTCCCAAGGGGTGTCACAATCAGGAAGACCTCACCCCAGGATCTTCTGCCTGAGTGCCAGCTTGTTCTGCATTGATCCTTGTTACTGCAAAGGCTGAGCTGAGTGGGACAAAACCCAATCTGTGGCAGCTGCATCTACACAGAGCTTTTCCTTCTCTCCTCCCTTTTTCTTGACCATGGCACAGTTTCCTAGGAAAGATCCTTTAGGCTTCCAAGGCCCATAGAATCACAGAGTTGTAGAATGGTTTTCCTTGGAAGGGCCTTAAAGATAATTTAGTTTCAACCCCCTGCCATGGGCAGAGAATCTTTCACTACACCAGGCTGCTCCAAGCTCCATCCAATCTGGCCTTGAACAGTTCCAGTGATAAGGAATCCACAATCTCTGTGGGCAACCTGTGCCAGGGCCTCACAACTCTAATATTAAAGAATTTCTTCCTAATATCCCATCCAACCCTGCCCTGTGTCAGTTTGAAGCCATTCCCCCTTGTCCTGTCACTCCATGCCTTTGTCATAAGTCCCTCTGCAGCCCTCCCTGAGCCCTTGATGTACTGGGAGGGGATTACAAGAGGAATAGAATGTGCTTCCCCACGGGGATCACGCTGTTGTCCCACCCAAAGCCCACGGTGAGGTTTGCCCTCTGGGCAGACTGTGTGCTTACATCTTTGCAGCTTTTGGCCCCAGATAAACGTTCCCAGGAGCCCAGAGGCAGCTGGATGCCCGTGTCCTGAGGGGAATGGCTGCTGGCCCATCCCACCCCACAGCCCCGTACCTGAGCGCGCCCCGCTGTGCCTGCTGAGCCAGCCTGTCCCGCAGCAGGGCCCGCAGGGCCGGCAGGGCCGGGGCCTCGCCCGCCCGCAGCACCAGCGAGCACTCGCAGCGCAGCCGCAGCACCGCCGGCCTGTCTGCGCCCGCGGGGGCGTCCCCGCGCCTCGGCGGCACCTGCGGGGAGACGGGCTCGGTCAGGGCGGAGAATGAGAGTGTCCTGAGCTGGAGGGACCCACCAGGATCACCCAGCCCAGCCCCTGCCCTACCCCCCACCCTGTCCATCCCTGGCAGCGCTGCCCAAAGGCTCCCGGAGCTCTGGCAGCCTCGGGGCCGTGCCCATTCCCTGGGGAGCCTGGGCAGTGCCAGCACCCTCTGGGGGAAGAGCCCAGACTGACTCTGAAGCTCATGGACTAAGAAGAACCCCAACTGACTAACAAACCCAGCTGACAATATCTGCTCTCATACCAAGAGAGGTGACACAGGCACAGTCCCTCATCTCTGTGCTGCCATGTTGCAGCAGAACAGCATCAAAATACAGACCTGAATTTCAAAGGGGGAACTCTGGATTCAAAGCATGGGATCAAATGTTCCTCCTGTGACTCAGGAATTCTGGGTTTGGTTCTGATTTTACAGGTACCTCCTCAACCCAAACTTATATGAGCAGGGCCCCAATTCGTCCAGCCAGCTGGAGAGGAGCAGCCACATTCCTCTGTTGTGCTACTTCTGGCTGAACTACACCTGAAAAAATTACCCCAAAAGCCCCAAAAACAGGTGTGGCAGAGCTGACCTGCAGCTGAGAGACAGAGGTGGTGTCCCCAGAGGGTCACAGGAATCATTCCAGGACCATCACATGCAGGGGTGGCAATGGCATGGAAGTACCTCAGAGGACATCACCCAACAGGGCAAACTTGAATGAACTGTGCTATCCAGACTGATAGGGACAGAAAATGGGACACAGGAAGAGGGGGGAAGGGACAGCAAGGTGTTCAAAGACAACTGCCTCTTGCAAAGTGGGCTGTAAAACATGTGCACAAGAACTCTGATGCATTTGCTGCTCCTGGTGCCTCGGAGGGTGGCAACAGGTCAGCCTTGGGCTGTGTCACAAAGTGGGATGGTCACAAACTGAGAGGAAAGACCACATGGGAGTCTCTCTTTAGAATGGAAAAGTGGTCAGAGGAAGGAGTTTTTTCCCCAGTGATTTGGGAGCAGCTCAGGAATTCTGGGCAAGAATCTTGCACTCTTTCCAGCCCTGGTCTCCTGAGGCTGTGCCAGCTTCAGCCTGTGGAACCCCTCACCTTAGAGTCCATGTGGGCACTGGCATCATTGACAGAGGCATTTTCTTCCCCAGGAGGATCTGCAGAACAGAACAAAGGCAGGGGAACAGCCCTGCAGTCAGCACCACCACCTCCTCACGCCCCCTGAAGAGCAGGGTTTGGGCACAGCTTCACCCACTGAGGGCCCAGAGGTTACCTGGCTTCTGCTTCATGGGGAGGCGGCTGGGAGGCACCTGGGCAGGAGGAAGGGGAATCCCAGTGCTGATCTTCTGCAACAGAACAGCAGCAGTAAGGAGAAGGCAGAAAATGGGAGCCTGGACAAGGCTGGTGTGTGACAGGCTGCAGCCAGCTACTGACTTGTGGGTGTAACCCCAGAGAGAGCCCCAGGGAGAGCTGCTCATTGAATGGTTGGACGAGTTGGAGCAATGAGGGTCTTGAGGGCAGTGTCCCCAGACACTTCCCTGGCACCCTGCTCCCTGCTGGGTTGGTGCTGGGACAGAAGGAGGCTGCTCACACTGTGCTGAGGGCCCTCCCCACTTGGGCCGGCTGACAGTGACACAGCCATGGAGCAAACGCCCAAGTGTGTCCCAGAGGTTCATTTGGAGGGGGAAAAATGACAACTAAAATATCATTGCAACATCAGAACAAGCATGTGCTTGAAAACTCCCTCACAGGAAATGGGGCTGAGCTGCACCCTTCCACACTGGGTTCAGATGGAAAATGATTGGGATAATGTGTGGCTATGCCTGTAGTGAAAATGAGAGATGAAGTTCTCCCAAGTCAAAGGGATTTTTTGTACTCCTAACTCTTCTGTTGTTCCCATTCAAGAGTACTTGATCTTCAGTCAATAGTCTCAGTGCTTCACACTCTATGTTTCTCTTATAGAGTTGTCCCAACCTGTGATAATTTTACAGATAAATGTCCCAAATGTATTCTTGGTCCCTCCCTCCCCCTGGTTGCAAGGTTGCCAGCTCACCCATTTATCCATCCTTGAGGCAGGCTCCAGGAGAGAGCTCGGGATGTGCAGCTTCTGCAGAGGGACATGAAGCAGAGCAGGGTGAGAGAGGAGCCCAGCAACCCCAGCACTGCCTGTCACCCTATGGCCACACCAATGTGCCTGAGCCACCCAAGTGCTCAGTGCTCACAAACTGCTGGACAAAATCCAACGATCCTTTTGCAGCTTTTCCTGCAGGGAGCAGAGCTGCTGCTGGAGTGGCTGCAGTGGAACAGACCAAACACCCACCAAACCCCCTGCTCCCAACACAGAGCTCAGGGTGAGAGAGCAGCAAGGATGCCCAGGGGTACCAGTCCAACAGCATTTCTGTGTCTTCTGACAATCACTGCTGCTCATTTTAACTGAGCACTGTAATTTTTTGCTTACAACGTTTTGGTTTTTTTCCTATTGAGAGTCTATTTTTATTTTTTCTACATTGAATTTCACCTGGCACTTCACTGGGCAGTGAACCAGCACATCCAAATACTTGTGTAACTGTTCCTGTTAGCTCCAGATGCTTCAGGCTCTCCCCCTATTCCTGTATCACTTAGGAATATGCTAAATGCTTATGTCACAGAAGATTTGCTGTGGGGACATAATTTTTTAAAAGTTAAAGGAAGAAAAACCTGTTCCTTTATATCCAGCTTTTAATTCTGTATTTTTACCAGTCCTGAGAGCACTGCCTCAATTGCTCAAACACCTTACTGGTTTATAGTGGTCTTATGAAGAATCTTGTGACTTTTTTGAAAGACAGGCAGGTAATAAATTCAATGAACCTAATCCAGGTATAGAACAGCTCTTTCAAAAAGTGAACTAGACAGGTGAGAAATGGCTTCTGCCAACAAAAGATTTTCCATGTTGTGTTTATCTGTTTCTGTTCAGTCTCTTTACACTACAGCTCCCTGGCCTGCAGGAAGATGTCAGATTTGTTGGGCTCTAAGTCCTTAGGACTTCCCTAGAGCTGTTCATAAATCCTGCCTGTACAGCTGAAACCATCCCCAAACCTTCCCAAAGTTCATTGAACAGAGGCACTACAGACCAGGTAAGGACCAGCCCACCTCCTCAGCTCCATCAGAGCTCTCAGGGGATAAATCCTGCTCTAAATGGTGGTCCTTGCTGAGGTCTGCTATGCTACAACTCCTCAATAGGATCCCCTACGGTGGAGAGCCCAGAGGCCATCCTTGTGTCTTCTGCAGGGGTGAATGGCAGAGGCCGGTGAGAGCCCAGTGTCAGGAAATCTGGGGGGTGTGGGAAGGAGCTCCGGAGGACTGTGCTCAGGGCGGCTGGGGCCAAGCCCTGCCCTCGGGGCCATATCTGTGCCCTGCCCTGCCCTGCCCTCGGGGCCGTGTTCCTGCCTCAGCACCCTCGAGGCCATGCCCCTGCCCTGCCCTTGGGGCAGTGTCCCTGCCCTGCCCTGCCCTCAGCACCGTGTTCCTGCCCTGCCCTCAGGGCCGTGTCCCTGCCCTGCCTTCGGGGCAGTGTCCCTGCCCTGTCCTCGGGGCCGTGTCCCTCAGCACCCTCGGGGCCGTGTCCATGCCCTGCCCTGCCCTCGGGGCCGTGTCCATCCCTCAGCGCGCTCGGGGCCATGTCCATCACTCAGCACCTTCGGGGCAGTGTCCCTGCCCTGCCCTCGGGGCCATGTCCACCCCTCACCGCCCTCGGGGCCGTGTCTCTCCCTCACCCCCTCGGGGCCGTGTCCCTCAGCATCCTCGGCGCCGAGTCCCTGCCCTGCCCTCGGGGCCGTGTCCCTCACCTGCCCGTCGTGGATGGCCGTGGCCCAGCCGTCTGCCGCTCTGCCCAGCACGAACACCAGGCTCCCGGCCGCCACCTCCTGCCCCGGCGGCTCCTCGGGGCGGTACCGGGCCAGCACTCGGTGGTAGCCGGACTCGGCCTCCCTGCGGGGAGAGGGGAGCGCTGACGGGCCTGGGGCGCGGTGCTGATGGCTCCGAGCCACCGCACTGCACCGGCCGCAGCTGGCATGGGCTGCAAGGTGGGGGTGCTGGGAAATCGGGATTTCCATTGCTGCTCTCTGGTCCAATTGGGAACAAAAGGGGCTTGGGAAACACTGATTTGCCAAATGCAGCTGCGTTTTCATTGTACTGATAAACAATGTCAAGATCAAAACATTGATCGACACAGCCCTGAAGTACTGCTGGTGCAATATCACTGAAACAAATTACTTTCTTGGAGTTTGAACATGATTTTGGCTCAGGACACTAGGGCTGGTTGTGAGTATTTGGAATTGTCCTGAGAATTAAAATGGGAAATGTGGAAGGGGCTAACAGCGGGCCTGTTAGCTAAAGGAGTGAGAGGAAGCTGAGAAGCAAGAAGCAGCTGATAAGGAGCTTTTTCTAAAGCTGTAACTAAGGAGACCAAGAGAAGTGAGGAATTGAAGAAAGATAAGAAGAGAACTTTGCAGCTATATGAAGTATTTTTAGAAAGGTAGCTGAAATCACTGTAACTTTTCACCAATGGTGTTATGTTGATTTATTATAGCCAATAGTTAAGGTAGAAGAAGTATAAACAATTAGAAAGTGTATAAAAGGTCAGCCATGTTCAATAATAAAGAGTTGCCATCTGAGACTGATTGTAGTCTCTGCTTTGTGTCGTGATCACCTCGACAATGACAGGGAAAGCTGAGCATCCTCTGCCACAGACCTGGGCAGGTCCCACAACCTCTGTCTGCTTCCATTCCCCAGGCATGCCTGATCCATGGTGGTCTCCCAAGATCATTGAATCAAATCCTGCAAACTGCCCAGAGGCTCTTGCAGAGATGCCAGGGACCTGCAGCTCCTTTGCAGCCACAGAAGCCTTTGTGTGTTTGTCATTCACTCCACCCTGGCCAGAGTGGGTGTGGATCCCTCGGAGTCTTTATTCAAAGCAGCCAGAGAATAAAAGACTTTCTGAACAGTAGAGAGAGAAGGGTAAGACCAAGGTGGGACTGAACACTCACCGCAGAGCATTGGCACTGGGTTCATAAAAGCCCTGTTTCTGTGGGAGAAACAACAGGATCTGTTTGTAACAGTGCCTCCTACAGCAGCAGTGCCACCTTATCTCCTGACTCTGCTATTTTGTCTTTACTCTTGACCCCATTTGTCATTCCACACCACGAAAAGGTCTGCTGCTCCACACCTTACCAGGATGTGCCTTCTCTTCCTTCCCCTCCCTCTTTATCTCATCAGGAAGTAAGACAGTCTCTTCCCCCTCCCCTGGTTCCAAGGAACTCCCAGCACAGTGGGAGGCAGCTGTGCTCACACTGACACATTTACTGAAGTGATGAGCAGAGACAGGCTGAGCACAGCAAAGCACTGCTGTTTTGACAGGGTGAAGAGCCAAAAATGCATCTTTAAAGGGCTGGAGATTCCCATCACTGAGTCCCTTACAGCCAGTGCTGAGCCTGGCTCTGAACATCCCCATGGATCCAGACTGGTGTTACACTGGTTTTACCAAGAGTCCACTCTTCCTTCCCCTGATGGTTGGATCTGAGCCCCTTTCTGGAGCTCCATGACAGCTCTGTTCCTCCTCTCACAGCCCTGTCCTGCTCACCTGAGGCCTGAGAGGCTCAAAGCCAATGTACTCATCGTTGGGAATGATGGATGAGATGACCTGTTGGAGAACAAAGCAATCAGTGAATCTAGGCTGGACAAAGAGATCCCCAAACTGCATCCAAGGTTATCTGCTCAGACCCATTTCCTTCTGGCATCCCAAGGTCAGGCAAAGTGTGAAGCTGTACATGCAGTGGGAGAGGCAGAGCTGGATTCCCAAGGCAACTCAACCATTTGTGTCCCATTTTTTAAGTCTTTCCAAGGTTTCTTTAAAAGTATGTGAATTTATTACTTTCCCTTTCTTTATTTGTTTTGGAGCTCTCTGTTCTGACTGCACTGGTCACAGAAAAGGTCAGAGAAATTCTCTGCTGTCTTATATTAAGGGATGTGACAAAGCATTTGTCCCCTGAGTGCCAACCTGTCCCCCAGGGAATGCAGGACTGAGCAGCAGCATGCTGGGACAATGTGCCCCTCTTAAAAACGTTACTGTGAGCAAAAGGGCAACCACAGATTCCCAGAGTATCTGCTCAGCCCTTACAGACTTTAAAGTGACCAAGACTAGAAAGGTATTTTAGTGCCAAAATGCATTTTTTGGTAGAAGGGGTAGCAATTCTAACAAATTTTGGCTTCTGTGTCCTGACTGCCTGGACTGGCTGCAAGCTCTGCCATCCTGCTCTCTGGAGATGGCAGAGGCAAGGTTTTTTTCTGCTGCTGAAATCATGACAATTATGTTACCTTGGGTTTACCCAGGAAATCTTTTGAATCCAGCTGCTCAACTTCCTTCTTTCGTGGTCTGAAAAGTTCCTCAAGAGGAACCAGCATGGGCTCTAAACACAGGTGGTCCTGGGGTGGGGAGAGCAGGTGAAGGAAAAGCCATCAATTTGCATTGAATGAAACATCAGAGCCCTGAAAAGCAAATACAGCTCAGGTGTGCAAGAGCAGCTCCAGGAAGATATTGGGGCAAAAGTTTTGGCTGTGAACTCGACAAAGGCCACTCAGGCTCCACAAAAGCAGGAGCAAACTGAGCGCTCAGCAGCCCCTCCCCAATGGGGAGGCAAGGACTGACACTGCTGGCATGGGGTGGGTGGGAAGGGGGGCAGTGCAGGAAGGTTTATCAAACAAATCTTAACAGCTTTTCTGTTTGATTTCAGATATTTTCTGTTCAGCCACTGAGTAGCATGCTAATAGCAAATACAAATAATACACTGGAAAAGCACAAATGTGATGCCAGAAGAGATGATCAGATTAAAAACAAAGTGATGAATCCTTCAGGAAGAGTAAATCAGAGATCTGCAAATGTTTCCAGATCATAAAGAAGTCTAACAGGAAACTTTCACTTAGAAGCAGCCCTAGAAACACTTTCACACCCAACTTAAGCTCTAAAAGTGCTTGACATTATTATCTGAACTGCCACCAATTGTTCCTGAGGCCAAAGGGACTCAAAAAAAGCCAGCCAGTGCCACAAGAAGGGAGAATCTCCAGGCCTGCACTTGTAGGGGTTCTGCACTTGAAACACTGCACAAGGAAACTGGTTTTGCAGGACAAGTACATATGGAACTGAGCTCCTGAACGTGAAGGAACAGGAAGCCATGTCCTCAACCTCAGAGGTCATCCCAAAATTCTTCACTATGGTGTTTCTGGGCAGTGAAGCACCTGGGGAAGATGGAGTTCCTCGATCACCTGAAGCCCTGGTTTGGCAGAGCATCATGTACAAATGGCTTAGACCGTGCTAGCAGGTGGCCAAGCAGGTGGGTGGATGGCAGGAACATGCAGGTGTCAGGAACACTCAAACTGACAACTTTTAGCACACATCCCTGAGCTGAAGCCCAGTGCACACTCCCAGGAGTTCACAGAGGTGGCCTTACCTGCACCCGCTCAAGGGCCAGCTCCAGGATTGCTGTTCTTCTTTCAGGTCTCCACACAACAGCCTTCTCCAGGGTGACCCTGGCCTCCTGCCACTGCTGCAGGTGGCACTGCACTGCTGCAGTGCTGTACAGCACCTGGAGGGGGCACAGGGAAGGGACTCAGAGGGCCAGGACCAAGGGACACCCAACCCGTCCTCCTGAGCCCAGCCAAGAAACAGGGACAGGCACTACAGCACCAAGAGCTCAGCAACAGGAGAGGCTGAGTGGCAGAGCTGGGAACATTTTACAATCAGACAGGAAAAATAAAAGCTTGTATGTGCTGGAGCTGCTGGTCAGGGTGGTGAGAGACATGAGGACGGCAGGGGAAGACTCTGGTATCACATTTTAATTCTGATCCTTCCTGCAGCCAAAAGGCCAGGAAGCTTTCCTTGGGTGATTTTCTGCATGAAACTAGGTAATGATTTTTGTAATCCTGACTCCCTGTCACTGCAAAATAACTTAACTGAAACTATTTCATGTTGTAGTGGGCTGTGAATGTGCAAACTGTCAGCTGTAGCTTGTCACCCTTCAGCAGCATGTCAGTCTGTTCCTGGGGAAGAGCAGGCTGTGGGAGTGTTGCAGATGGGGTGTTGGGGAGCTGTGGTCTATACTGAGAGTGGGAGATCTCTCCCTGTCACTGACCAGCTGTGCCACAGCCAGAGCACTGTCAGACAGCTCCTTATCTCCTGTGATAGGGTTATCAGCTGGGAATTGAGGTGTGTACCTGGCTGCACGCCCTGCTCAGGACAAGGCACAAGCTCATAGGATGCTTTTCCTTTACTCCTTAACCATGGCAGTAGAAGACTCTGTTTGGGAGTGTGGGGAATGGCAACCCTGAGCATGTACAGGAACTGCAGGGACAGGCAGCAGCTCTCACTCAGTCAGAAGTGTCACAGCCTTGCAAGAGGCAAATATTTCTGGGTTTTCAAAGCACACATGTATCTCCCACGAGAAGATCACCTGCAGCACGTGAGAGGCCGTGCATGGGGAAAGCTGATGGCACAGTTCTGCTGGAGGAGGATGTTTGTGTATTTTGAAAAATGAGCTCCAGGTAAGAATGAGATACAGCTGAATCAGGATGCTGATCCCAAGTCTGGAGGGCCAGCCCATGTCCTGGTGATGCCTGGAGTAAGGGGTTGTGTGTCCACACCAGGAAGGGCCCCAGCCTCGGGACACTCCTGAGCCCTGCCCCTTTCCCAGGGAACTGCTCATTTCCAAGAGAAGGCAGCGCCGTGGCACTGAAGCTGTTAAAGCCAGGGAGGTTTGGGTAATACCACGGATGCCAAGGATTGCTTCCTCCTGCCAGGTATAGGGTGCTTGAAAATTGCTGAGATGCTTGGCTGGAGTCACACAATGACTCCTCACTGTCACGGAAGTAAGCAGTTAAATCCTCTTTCCTGTATCTGCTTTTCAATCTGTGTGTGTGGACTCAGAGAAAACAAAATGAACCCTTCCAGTAAAGGACAGTTTCTATGTTTCTAACTTTACATATGTCCAAATATTATAAAAATTTACAATCAGTTCAGCCTTTGAGCTTCCTTGAACAGGATGTGGCAGGTTGGCCCTGTGTGACAGTAAGAGGTACAGGATGAAGCATTTCAAACACAGCCTGAGCACGGGGTGCAAGTTCAGGCACAGAGGGAATGTTAAGATCAGTTGCTGCAGTTGAAAGAGGCTTTCATGCACCTGACTTTCCTACAGCCCACATTTTGCATCAGTGCTGTTCTCATCTGTCACTGAACTCTGAGAGCCGAGGAGTTCACTAAACTTCCATGTGTATTTACACCCAAGTGTAAATATTACACAGAATCCCAGACTGGTTTGGGTTGGGAAGCACCTTAAAGCTCCCAGTTCCACCCCTGTCATGGCAGGGACACCTTCTACAGACCAGGTTGCTCCAAGCCTCATCCAGCCTGGCCTTGGACACTTCCAGGGATGGGGCAGCCACCACTTTGTCAGATACAGAGAAAATAAAACCCCTTCCATATAGAAATTCCTGTATACCTGCTCTGAACAATTTTACTTTGCAAATGCATCATTTGCTAAACTTTCCAGAGATGATGTTGGTTTACAACTTTTATGATTAAGTTACCTTTTTAAAAGTGCAAGCAGAATATTTTTACAGCTCTAATGTACTTGCTTGAAAAAGTCTTGGGTCACTAATGCCTGTTACTGATACCCCCAACAGTGGGGAAGGATTGCTGAGCCAGGCTGACTCTTACCTCCCAGGCATAGAGGATGTGCCTCAGCCCCAGCTGCTTGTAATCAATGAAGGGATTTTCTCTTAGGTGACTGAAGGCCAGGTGATAGTCAGAGAGAGCTTCTTCATACCTGCAATGCAGAGGTGACACAAGAAACTGAGCCTGAAACAGCTGGAGACTGTTTAAAAAGCTTAAAAATCACACTAGCAGATAACATGTATTCTGCTCTGCAGCCTGTGCAAGGAGAGCTGCACCAGAGATGTGCTATGAAGACCCAAGGTTGCCCACTGCTGGGAGCTCCCTGCTGTCCCAGCACGTGTCCCAGGAGGATTGAGGGCTGGGAGCCTGACTGATGGGGACCAGGGAGGGCACACACATGGCCAGAGCATTGAAATTGAGAAACTTGAAGTTTAGAACCTCAACATTTAGAAATTTAGAGAACCTGTGTGGATAAGGGCAGTATTAGTCTGAAATTACACCATCTATGCAACTGAAATCCAAGCAGGTGCCCACTGAGGCTGCAGGTGGTGAAAGGAAGGGCCCAGGAAGGGCTGTGCAGTGGGCACAAGAGAAGGTGCCCAGGTGGGTGTTGGTGGGTGGGAGCAGCTTCTGATGAAGGAAGGAGCCCTGGGGGCTGGAGGCCAGCAGCTCTTTGGGCAGGAAGCAGCTGCCAGCTGTGCTGCCCCTGCAGTGGCTGTGCTTGGGCCACATTTGCTTCTGCTGCTGGTGGAGCAGCTCCAGAGAGCCACAGCCCCTCTCCTGGAAAAGCCAGAACTGCTCACTTTGACTCTCTTCCAGAAATAAAGACAGGCATTTTGTGGAGATTAAGGTCTGGGAAATATGGGGAAAACAAGGGGAAAGACAATTGCTGAGCTCAAAGGTAAGACAAGATCTGTAAAATACTTCACCCAGCTCCCTGAGGAGGATGTCACTGTGATTTAACCGTGGAAACAATGAGTAATCAATCCCATGACACTTCTGGAGCAACCTCAATGTTCTATCAATGAGACTGAGATCAGGCCCCCAAAGTCTGCTGGCAGGAAAGTGTGCAGGCTGCATTTTTAGCAAGGCCAGACTCATGTGTGTCATGTGAAGACACACGAAGCAGCACAATTATATTTTTTTAAATTTCTAGAGAAAATCTGAATGGCAACATAGCATTGTGGCAGCCTTGCATGCAGGAGTCTCTGTCTGCAGGAGACAGCAATGCCATGTGTCAGCCACCCCAGAGTTGTGCAGCTCTTATCAGAGATAAGACTTGCTGACCTGTGACAGGGTTCCAAGGTTAAAGCAGATCCTGTGACCCTGTGAGGTTGCTAGAAGAAGTGAATTTTGGAATCAAAGAATCATTTAGGTTTAGGAATAAAGCAGGACTGAAAGGACAGAACCAAAGACTGCACTGGCTGTGCACCTCACTCACATTTCCAGCTGCAGGTGGACATATCCTCTCTGGAAGTAGCCCACAGCCAGGGAATTGTCCTTCTCAATGGTTTTATTGAATGCCTGGGGAGAAAGACACAGGCAGGGCCCAGCTGGGATGTGTCCTGTCAGTGCCTGGGCACACACACCCAGCCAGCCCCATCCCAGCTGCCCTCACAGAGGCACGCCCTGGGCTCCTGCCCAGCTCTGAGGGCTGGGCACAGCTCCCAGCCATCCTTCAGGTCTTGGCTCTGTGTGAGCTGAGCTGCAGGCTTTTACCCCTCCTTGCTACAATGGACTGGACATAAATGAGCTGCATTGGCCATCTGGCTTCTTAAAATGGAAAACTGTAGCCTGCAGAAGAATTGGCCAGTGGGAGCAGCGGGACTGGCCAGGCTGGGGAAGGCTGAGGTGATGAAAGAGTGAGAGGGAGGGAGGAAGCTGCAGGGCTTCTCACAATGGCCTCTAAGTCAGTGTTTCTGCTTCGGTGCCCCAGCTAAAAGCAGGCAGTGCTTGTGGTAGCAGCTCGTGGTTCAGTGTGCTGGGAGAGCCAGGAGTCCTCCTGGGGCAGCATCAGGGCTGTGCTCCTTCCCTTGCCAGCGTTGAAAGCCCAGCCCTCCTGCCCTGCCCTGCAGGGGAAGGTGAGTCCCTGTGACCCCACACACCGTGCTGAACGTCTGCCTGCCTGGGCCAAACCTGAAATAACAACAACCAACCCCTGATCCTCACGGAATAGAGCTGAGCTTCTTCCCAGTCCCTGCCCCTTGACTGGGCTCAGAAGTCTCTCCTGTGCTCTCTCCTTCAGCTCCATGGCCCCTCTGTGTCCCAAACAGCCACTGCCTGCCCAGGGCTCCACGGCGCTGCCCCAGCCCCTCAGCACAGCCTCAGCAGCTCCTTACACAGTTTGAGAAAGGTTTATCTGCATCTCCTCCCTGGAGACAGATGAGTGGATGGATGTGCAGACACACCAGGTGCTGTCACAAAAAGGCTTTTCCTCAGGGCACCTCCTCTCCCTTCCCAGTGGTTTTCCAGCACAGCAGCTTTGTTCTGGCAGTCTCCACTGCCAAGCAGCATTTTTGTACTTTCAAAGTACACCCATCTCATGTCTAAACCCACAGCTACAGAACAGCTATTGGCCAATCTTTTTCCTGCTTTGATTTAAAGCTACAATACATTTTTAATTTATTGTGCATGTCCAGTGGGTTGAGGTCTTCTCTTGGAATCAGGCAGGCTGAGCTTTAGAGGTGTGGTTTTTCACATGATAATGAGCTAAATTCACCTAAAGGACAGGATTTTAACTGATTTAGTTTTAACAAAACTTAAGGTATATTGCCAGATGCCACTTCCAGTATTTAACAATTCTCTATTATCTTGTTTCAAAATGATTCTGCCCACTGACCTGGATTTCATTTAGAGAACCATGGAATCACAGAATCATTAAGGTTGGAAAAGGTCTCAAAGATCGAGTCCAACTGTGAAGCGGGCATCACTGAGTTTACCACTGAACCCTGTCCTCGACGGCCACATCCGCCTTTTTAACTTCCACCTTTTCCACTTTTCTGTGATTCACTCAGCTAAACTTTTCCCTCCAACCATTCACCCTTCAACGTCCTCGCTCGCACTCCCGCGGGACACGCAGGACACGAAACGCCGGATCCCAGATCTACATTCAGCACCGCTCCCCCGCGCGGACCCGGGGCAGCCGAGCCGCCCATGCCCAGGGTCCCCGGGGATCCCCCCGCTCCCGGGCCGCTCACCCGCAGGGCCGCCTCGGGCCGCCCGGCCAGCAGCTGCACGCAGCCCACGTTGAAGCAGATCCTGGCCGGAGGCTCCTCGATGCCGCCGAACGCGTCCAGGGCAGCGTCCCAGTGCCCGCGGTCCGCCGCCCGCACGGCCTCGTGCCAGCGCCGCACCAGCTCCCGGTACGCCATGGCCGGGCTGCGGCAACGGGAACGGGAACGGAGCCGCGCGGGGCCGCACCTGCGCCGCACCTGCCGGGGAGGGGCTGGACGGGAGACAGCGGCCACTCTGCCCGCTCCGCTCCTCCCCTGGGCGGCGGGAGGAGACACCGAGCCCGCAACAGGACACGGACCGGGAATGGGACACGGACCCCACAGTGAGGCATGGACCGGGAAGGGGGGATATGGAGCCCGGGAGGAGAGACGGAGCCCGGAATGGGACACGGCCTGGCAGGCGGCCGGGGCCGGCGGGGCAGAGCATGAGGGCGGCGGCCGCAGCTGAGCGGGCACCGGGGGTGCTGCTGGCTGAGGGCACCGGAGGGACCTGACCTGACCAGCCGCCAGAAGCGAGCCCGCGGCCAGCGCTGCCGCAGCCGAGGTACCGCTTTGGGAGCTTCTTTGAATAAAATATTTAACGTAAGTTTAATACAGTAGATACTCTCAGAGCCGTGTGGGTGCGAGTTAAGTACAGTACGTTCGGCGGCACAGGCGGCGCCGCACTCTGGTAAATACGGTACAGCATCTTCCCCCCCTCCCCCCCGGCCCGGGCTCGCGCGCTGCCGCGGCCGACAGCGCCCCCTGGCGGCACCGCGCCTCGGTGCCCCGGAACAGGACACCGATGAGGGCGCGGCGCCGTGCGCGAGACGTTCCGGAGCTGCTGGCGTTTGCGGCGCGGAGCGGCGGGGAAGGGTTTAGGCGACGGACCGGCGGTGCCAGGTGAGTCCCGGGCGTGCCCGGAGCGAGCGGGACCGGCCCGGCCCGGCCCGGCGTGGGCACCGGCACCAGAACGGGCCCAGAGTGAGCGGGACCGGCCCGGCCTGGGCACCGGCACCAGAACGGGCCCGGAGCGAGCGGGACCGGCCCGGCCTGGGCACCGGCACCAGAACGGGCCCAGAGTGAGCGGGACCGGCCCGGCCCGGGCACCGGCACCGGAGCGGGCTCGGGCTCTGAGCGGGCCCGGCCTGGGCACCGGAACGGGCCCGTGAGGCTCGGCCGCCCAGAGGAGCGGCGAGCGGGCGGCGCGGCGGGGGCCGCTCCCGGGCTCCGCATGGCGCCACGAAGCGGCTCCGGGGCTGGCGGGAGCGGGCCGGGCCGGGCCGGGCTGAGGGGTTGGGCCGGGCCGAGGGCTGGGCGAGGAGCCGGTGCCTGCGGGAGCGCGGCGGAGAGAACGGTCAGCAGCAGCGGGCATTGCACCCTGAGCTCCGCGGGGCGGCGGGACGGAGTCACAGCGGGCACGGCTGGAAGCGAGTTGAGGGCAGTTCACAAACCGGAGACATCCGCGGCAGCCCTGCCGTGCGGCTCGGGGGTTTCGGTCTGAAACAAACTTGTGGGGCTCCTGCCACTGATCTGAAATGTTACAGAGAATGGGAAAGAAGAGTCGGTGGGATTGGAAGTACCGCGAGTATTGTCCGCACGTGGAAACATAAAATGTGGTTTAGGAAAAGAAGGACAGTTTGTTAACGTGATGTCAGCAGCAGGAGTGGAATAAAATGTGCGGCAAAAATGTTGTGTCTAATTAGATCCTGCAGATGCAATGAATGTAAAGATTAAAGTCTGACCCACGTGTGGTTGGGAAGGACCCCACTGGTGCTCCTTCTTGGGAAGGGATTTCAGCGTCTGAGCCAACTGATGTATGTTTAGAACCATGTACTTGCATTTTCCGAGGAATTGAACTCTAGTGCAACTTGACAAGTTAATTCAGCAGCTGGGGTTGCCATACAAAATGTCAGAATGGCCTCAGGACAAACTGTGCCTCAGCTGTGAAATGGAGGGGTGGGAACCAGCTGCTCCCCACACCTTGTTCAGTCCCTGGCTGAGCCCAAAGCAGCTGTGCCACCTCTGCTGTTCGGGGTCCCTGCTGACACAGAGGGGACATGGCAGGGACAAGGTGCTGCTGGCCTGCCTGCCTGCCGGGGTGCTTCCACGTGGCAGGAGGATTTGATACCAGGACAGCTTCCACCACAGGCACTGCTGGGGGTGCAGAGGGACAGGCAGGACACAGCTGCATCAGTGGCACCATCTGGACTGCACTGCTGGGGCAGGGGTTGATTGCTTGTGTGTTTGCAGTTTTTCTAAAGAAAATCAAGCTACAGTGACCACGCGTGTGCCCGTGGTTAGAACGGGCTGCCAGGGCACCTCTGTTTCCAGGAGCTCTCCAGTAAGATGGAGAAATCCTGGGGAGTTCAGGGCAGGCCACAGAAATGCTCCAGTTCTGGAAAACAAGCCCTGAATAAGCTCAGCTTATTCGGGAGAAGTGAGCTGAGGAGTGACTCAGGCACTCTGGAAATCCATGCCTGTGGGATGTTCTCCCACAGCTGGATCCTGTCAGCCTTCCCAAAGCACGCAGTGGGATCTGCTGACTGAGGCACAGCGACACAAATTGTGTTAAACGTGCCCCGGGTTCCCAGCGGTGGTGCAGGGTAATTACAGGAGGAGCTGGGGCAGAGGGGAAGGGCTGGCAGTGCTGGGAGCTCCTCAGCTGAAGGCTTTCAGGGCTGGAGGTGGGCTCAGAGCAGACTCCTGGGCAGTCTCGGGGGCCAGGCCAGTTTGGGCATGCAGTAGGGCAGAAACAATCAAATTTTAACATCTGGAGCAAAACCAGCAAAATGCATCTTCTGGAACGTAAATGCCCCATGAGAGGAGCTCTGTCTGGAGTCCCTGCAGCAGCAGTGCTGCCTGTGGGAATGCTGGCACTCAGCTGCAGGTTGCAGTTCAGCACTGAGAACACTCCTCTGGTGGTGCTGCTCACACAGAGCCCCTCAGGCCAGTGTGGGCTGCACAGAAGGACTAAACTGAACACTTGAAATTGCTCTTTTCCACTGCAAACAGCAACTGGCACAGCTGGAGCCAGTGCAGCTTGTGGGATTCTCCAGAGGCAGCAGGGAGAGCTCCCTGTGCTGGAGCTCCCAGCTCTGAAGTGGTGCAGGGGGATCCTCACACAGAGGTGGATGCCAGTTCACAGAGGCTCAGTTATACTCAGACAACCAAAGCAGCTGCTCCTGTGAATGAATAATTTACCCAAACAAGCATTAAATAACTTGCTGATGTGTGCAGGGATGTAACCTGGTAGGAGAGGGAATGACACAGGGCACCTCTGGGCTAATGACAAAGACACTTTATTGAAATTAAGAGTGCTCTTCTGAACCAAGTTTGAGTAATTTAATTCAAAAGCTAATTGCTGAGTCTGTGTAATATATCTTTAAATAAAAATATATTTTCTGTAGCTCTCTGAGGATTCTTGGTGCTCTGGCAGCCTCCTCAAGCAGCTCCCTTGGTAACCAGGGGTACTGGAGGGAGGGCTGGTCACACAGGAACTGGGGAACAGAAACAGGACATGTGCCAAGGGCTGAACATCCTGCAGATTCACATGCTCATCTCTCATCTGAATAAATGTGTAATAAATTGATAGAGTGTTGGAGGAACCATGGCAGATGTCAGTGATAAAGATCTGAAAAAATCTTGCAGAAAAACGAAAGAAGGTGGTGTGTATACGTGGGATATTGGGAGTCTGGAAAGCTCTTTTCCCAGAGGATAACAGTCTCTGCCTCTTTTGGAATATATGTGGAGGCTGCCAGTGGCATTAACGTGGGCCTGGCAGGTGAGAGCCTTGTCCAGGTGTGTGAGGTCAGGAGCAGCGTGTCCTTCCCCCCTGTGCTGACTGAGTTCCCTGCTGGGGACCTGGGGCAGGTCGTGCTTTGTGGCTGCAGGTGAGAGTCAGGCAGTGAGCCCTGCCTGTGCCATTAGCAGCTCCCTCAGGCTCAGCTTTGCACTGCCTGGGCTCTGGCTCTGAACAGACCTGTGGAGGGTTGAGGCAATTGCTTCTGTCAAAGACATTTCTACAGAAGGAAAGATATCCCTGTGTTGCTAATTCTTACAGAGCAATCCTCCTTGCAGTTTCTTCTGCAAGGAATAGGTGGAAGTGCAGGTAAAGAAAGATAAAGTGTTTTGGACCCTGGTCAGACCAGGAGCAGTTAAAAACTCTCCAACTTCTGTCTGATCACCTGTAACACATGAGGGTTCTGTGCCTTCCCTGACCCTATCCCATGGACAAGGTTGTGTATTCCTTGTACTTGCCACACTGTGAACGTGAAGAAGGAATTTGCTAATGAAAATAAGGAGATATAAATAAGAAGAATGGAAGAATTAAGCAAAGAAAGAAAAAGTCAAATTTCTGTTGTCTAAACATCTGAACAGTAACAGGCCAGAAACCAATTTGAAGCTGACATATCAGGAGTGGTTCCTGTTGGTGTCCTGCTCTGGGGCTGCTGGTCCTGCAGGCCAAACCTGCCCTGGCTTGTTGTGGTAGCAACTGGCATAAAAAATGCATCAAAGACTCTTTTTCTTGTCATAATACAGCAGCCAAATTCTCTGCCCAGTGCTTCAGTGCATCTCTGAGTCTGTTTGGGAGAGCAGAGCTGCACGTGTGTCTGCACAGGTGAGCCCTGGCCCCTGTGCATTGCTGCATCCTTGTCCCACGATACTGATTCAGGGCAGGGGACACTCCAGCTCTACATGGATTTAATGCCTTTAAATAATTTCCTCTTTGTTACATCTCCAGGTCTGCCAAGGGTATGGTCACATTTCATGTTAAGTCTAAATGTGTGGCTGCTGTCATTTTAGACTCTTGATTAATGTAAGACTTTTTTTTTGGCTTATTCCATGGTTTGTGGTACCTGCACAATGTGTTTTATTCTTGGTTGTTGCTCATCTTGCCTTCAAAAGCAGAGTGCCCAACAAGGGCTTACCCTTACAGCTCTGCACACAGCTGTGGTTCACTTACTGATTTCAGGTATTAATTTGCTCTTGCATTTCTTTACACTTTTTATTGTCTACTGAATAGGATGCATGTCCGGTTCAAAAGAGACTGTCTAATCATTTTTGATTTTACACCAATTCACTGAGCCTTGTTTGGGTTACATGTTCATGAAAGAAATGTCTCTTTTACAAAACAGCCAGGACACTGTCTGCCCACTGCTGATCTTTGTGATGTCAAACTCTGCCTGAATCTCCTCAAGGAATAAGCTTTTGGTCAGGAAGAGAGTTGGCTGGGATGTAGCAGTGCTGTGAGGAGTGTTTGAACACAGCACTGCTTGGGAAGCTCTATCAAACTGCTCCACGTGGGTTCCTTGGGTTATACAATTGCCTGTACACTTTTGGAAAATATTCCTAGGAACTTGAATCTCCCAGTGTTAGAAACTGAAAGGAAATGAGCTTGGCTCTTTAAGGAGGGCAGTGCAGTTGGGCTGTACAGGCTCAAGCTCCAGTTTGAGCTGGAGCAGGGCAGGTTTTTGTTACCTGTGCAGCTGAGGGTGTCCTCCAGGGCTGTTTGTGAGCAGTGGTGGCCACTGGGCCACTGCAGCCATGGAGTGGAGCTTTGCTGGAGGTGTTTGTTGTGCTTGTTGAAGTGGATAACCCATGTGGGTCAGGGTGCTGGTTCCCTGCATGCTTCATCACATTGGTAAGGTGTTCTTAGTCCTTGGTGACCCAAATGGAATCACAGAATCCCCTGAGCTGGAGGGGCCCACCAGGATCCCCCAGCCCAGCCCCTGTCCCTGCCCAGCCCCCCCAGCAGCCCCAGCCTGGGCACCCCTGGCAGCGCTGCCCAAAGGCTCCTGGAGCTCTGGCAGCCTCGGGGCCGTGCCCATTCCCTGGGCAGCCTGGGCAGTGCCAGCACCCTCTGGGGGCAGAGCCTTGCCCTGAGCTCCAGCCTGAGCTGCCCTGGCCCAGCCCCAGCTGTGCCCTGGCTGCTGTCCCTGGCCCAGAGCAGAGATGGAGCTGTCCCTGCTCTGCCCCTGGGAGGAGCTGCAGATTCCTCTGAGGTCTCCCCTCATTGCACCTCATGATCTTAACATTACAGTAAAAATGCTTAGCAAGAAGTGAAGAGGTTAGCAAGTACGTGAGAGGGGTTCAAGGCAGAATGTGCTGCCCACCAGCTCTGTCTCCCAGCCTGCATTAGCCAGGTGCCTGCTGGCTCAGGGCTGAGGTGTTGGTTGCCAGGTGTCCAGGTGCTCACAGCTCTGTTTGCTTCCTCACAGCTCCTGGTGGCAGCAGGGTCCCCAGACATCGCCCAGCAGTGACACCTCCACCATCCTCCCTCGGGGTGAGTTTGCCAGACCTGTTCAGAAGCTTCTGACTCGCATCTGGCAGGATGGGGGCAGTGCAGCTTCAGGAACTTCTGCCCCTTTCCGTTCTGTCTTGTAGGAGCTTGGAAAAGAATCATTTGCACCCTCTGCTCCCAGCTGGGTGGATCCCACTTGAGTGGGGTGCCTTGGTGCAGGACAGGGGGAGGGAGGGGACAGGAGCTGCACAGGGGCTGCTGTGACTCTGCTGATCCCACCCTGAGCAGCTGTGCTCACCTGGCACAGCTGCAGGCACAGCTTCAAGGGCAAGGAACAGCCCCGTTCTGAGATTATTCCAGTGAATTTCTGTTCTGAGGATCAGCGTGGCGTTTGTTTCTCAAGAAGAACTTTTCTGGTTTGCAGGATGCTTTATTAGTTTGTGGAGGTGGGTGAAGGGGAACTGGGCAATAAACCACATGTCTGCTGTATGAACTTGTAGCCAGTCCTGTTCCACCACTGCAGTCTGTGACCACTCTTGGGTGCAGACCTAATAGTCAGTATTTTATGGTACACCAGTGTATTAAGGAATATATTCAAGGAGATTCCATTTTGATTTGTGAACTTCATTGATTATATTCACTTATTTTTGTAAAGTTTGATTTAACTGCATCATGTGTTGAAAAGTTACCCAGCAATTCCTTACAGATTGTGTAAAACTCAGTTTATCTTAAAAAGTTGTACTGGGTTAACTTTCATCTTACTCAGTATCCTTTCTTCTCTTGGAATGGGAGAACTGTGAATTTTCCCATCTTTCTCTATAGTCCTGCTGCCTACTGAGGTATTTACCAACGAGGCAATATAAAATATCTGTGCAGGAGCAGTCACCAGTTAGTGTCTGTCATCTGCTGTCCCGTTTTCAAGTGGAGACAAGGCTCATTTGGGGCTTTCCTGTGCTCCTGTGTGTGTGAAATGCAGCTGCAGCCTCGTTAGAGGGCACTCTGGAATCACCCAGGGAGCTGAGCAGCCTCATCCCCCTGCAGCTCTCCAGAGAAATCTCGCTGCAGAAAGTGGGAATGTGGAGCTGGATTTCCCTGGGTTACTAGTGATCCAAGGCTGCAGTGCCTGTGCTGTGGGCTCAGTTCATGCTTGTGCTCTGTATGGAATATAGCAACAACTTATTTGAGAATTCACTGCAGTTTTCCTAATGTGAATTAATGAACTTGCTTTTCTCATGGCCTTTACCCCATAAACTGCCCTGATCCTAAATCTGTAACCATTTTGGATATTGGTTTTTGGTTGCTATTGTCTTTCAAAAAGTAAATCCTTGATAAAAATATAAGGTGCTCCAGAAACTCTTGGGTTTTAGTACCAGCCCTTCCGCCAGTTCTGTGTCTTTGACAAACAGTTTGTTGTGTCTCCTTTCACTTTCTTCGTGTCAAAAAGAGGATAATGATTTTTACCTTGGATGAATTAATCAATATATATAAATGCGCTTCAAAATCTGAGGTTTAGAATCTAAATCTGAGGTTTAGAATTTTTTGCAAATATAATTAAAATATTGAACAAAATAGGAGTCAGAGAAGTCAAATTTAAGACCATGATTATTATTCAACTGCTTTTGTGGTGCTTCTTTTCTGGCAAGATTATAAAGCCAGATCATTTGCATTACTTTTGATTTCCTGATGTTTTTAGTTTTTTGTCCAAGGAACAGCATATTTATATGCAGGAGTCAGATTGTCTGTAAACACAAACATAATCTCACCTTTGTCCAAACATACCTTGTTTTGCTTTTACAAAACCAAACCAAACCGGTGGAACCCATAATTGCTAATTCTGAGCAATATGCACTGACTCATCCCCAGCCTGGGGAACCTTGGCAGGAGCCAGGTGGTGTTTCCTGGGCTGGAGCCGTCCCTGCAGGGCACAGAGCTCAGCCCTGAGCTGGGGCTCCCCTGAGCCCTGAGCTGG